CGCTGCGCCCACCGCGACGCCCGCCTGGGCCACCTCTGCAGCCTCCGCCGTCGCTTCCTCCTGTCCCCACTTCCGTCCTGCCGTCAAACGACGCTGGCCGTAAACCGCCGCCGAGTGTTTTGCGACAGATGCGGAGGGGACAGAGGGCGGGCCGGGAGGAGGCGGGGCCACCGGTGGGCGGGACCACTCGTCCCACAGCTCCGGACTGTGAAGTCCAAGGGCTTGCGGGGACCTTGGGGAGTTCTGCAGGCGACCGGTTCACTTAAAAAAAAAAAGAAAAGAAAAAAAAAAGGAGAGAAAAATCCCAAAGCCAGCTAAACCGAACACCTTGGGGCCCGTTCGCTGCTGATGGATTCAACGGCCCTAAAATTAAAAAAAAAAAAAAAAAATGCTGGGGGAGGCGGCGCACGCCTGTACTCCCAGCATTCGGGGGGCTGAGCTGTGAGTTCGAGGCCAGCCTGGGCTACATAGTGAGTTCCAGGTCAGTCTCAACTACATAGTGAGACCCTGTCTCAAAAAACAACAACAAAAATAATAATAAAATTAAATTTAAAAAAATTAACAATTATTGTTTCTGTAAAAATGATGGTCCTTAGTTGGAAAAAAAAACTGGAACAAAAATTCCCACTGGAAATGATTTCCTAGGAAATATTTTGTTGATAACTCTTCCAAGCCTGTCTGGCCACATGAACACAAGGTGGGGACAGAAATCCAGCCTGGAACTGTCAGTTTCTCTTCCTTATATCAACTCTGAGTCTTACTAAATAATGTAAAACATTAAAGCTTCAGACTTTGAAGATGTCTTTAACCTGTAAATTATCAATGCTCCCCAAATATTTTTAGTGCTGTGTGGTGGCACATGCTTGTCATCCCAGTACTCTGGAGGCTGAGGCAGGAGGATCACTGTAAGTTGAAGGCCAGCCTGCACTACAAAGCGAGACCCTGTCTCATAAAAACAATTTTGTTTTTTTTTTTGCTTTGTAACTTGGCAAAAAGTTCTCTTTGAACATAGGGCTACACAGTGGGTGACTGTTTCCATTTTGGTTTCTGGACATTCCAAAGCCAGATAGGGTTTCACAGTTGTTGGAAATTAAATGGTCACTTGAGGTGGCTTCTTATGTGCTGTGAGTAGACACTGAAATGTTTGCGGAGGATGAGGGCCAGTGCCTTTTGGAAAATGCCTGTCTGGGTGATCCTAATGCTAGGGTGTGCTAGGATTGTGTGTGTGTGTGTGTGTGTGTGTGCGAGTGTGTGCAAGTGTGTGTATATGTGATGCTAGGGATGGAGTCCAGGCATTCATAGGCATCATAGGCAAGGATGCCACAACTGAGCTACATTTCCCAGCCCTGCTACCTTTTATTTAAAGAAAATGATCTGCTAGGAATGATGCCGTCCACCTATAGTCTCAGCTATTTGGGAGGCTGAGGTGGGAAAATTGCTTGAGCTCAGGCCAGCCTGGACAAAGCAGCAAAAGAGACCTGGACAAAACAGACTGCTCCCCAACCTTAAAAGAAAATGTTTATCATCAAAATATACATAGTGACACCAGGCATGGTAACATACACTTGTGATTCCAGTGTTTGGGAGGTTGAGGCAGGAGGATCGTTGTCAGTTTGAGGCCAGCCTGGGCTACACAGTAAGTTCAAGATTGGCCTGAACTACACAGCAAGACCCTATCTCAAAAGAAAGAAAGAAAGAGAGAGAGAGAGAGAGAGAGAGAGAGAGAGAGAGAGGGAAATTATAGCATGTGATATATGCTTGTATCCAACTTTTTTTACTTACAGGAACAGCTTGTGAATTCTAATTATTATTATTATGGCCACATGCTGCTGGGAAAGCGACAAGCCATCTGGTTGCACAGGATGTGTCCATTCCTCAGAAGCCATGGCTCTTTGTCCAGCTGACAAAGAGACCGAGAGGAAGCCCTCACAGCACCAGGCAGCTCCCTGTGGGCCAGCAGCCTCCGCCCCTCCCCAGCAGGGCCTAGCTCTGCCCCTTTAACAGCACCAGCACGTGTTGCACGTACTTGGGGAAACATCTGGGAGCCAGTGCTGGTTAAAGAGACAGGCCCTCCCAGAGGAAGCTTGGACCAGGTTCGAGTTCCAGCAATGTGCTGAAGGGGACAGGAAAGGGATACTGAGGGGGTGGAGTGAGGCTTTGCCAGAGTGAGTCCTTTCTGCTGCGGCCTTCAAAATGAACTCCCCTCCTGATTTATCAGGACGGCAGGGACACAGGCCTTGTCCCACTGCCCAAGAGTTTTTTTCCTATCCATGGTGCCTGACCATGGAGGGAAGTTTTCCCAGAAACTCTAGCAAACCAGAAGTTGGAGCTGGGTTCTGATGCTGCCCTACTGTGGTCCCACATCAGCAGTGTGACATCAGGTAGATTGCTTCAGTTCTCTGAGCCCCAGTTTCCTCCTTTTGCAGAGGGGGGCAGCACTGCCTAACTTGAGCATGGAGGAGAGACCTCTCTGCTGATAGACTCGGCCCATGTGTCCTCCTCTCTCATTCCTCTTCCAAGTGTTGGGCATCTCCATCTGCATCCTCCCAAATCCAAAACATCTGGTGGCCTCTGGGCCCAGATCCTGTCCCAGCTGCAGTGGCTCCCAACCCTGGTCCTTAGATTCTGCTCGCCCCTCTTCCCTGTGCTGGCCGTATGTCCTGAGCGCTCTGCTAGGTCCCTCAGGGCCCCATCTGTGCAAGAAGCAGCACTCTGGAACGAGCTGCCCCTGGTTCCTGATTGTCTCCATCTTCTCAAAATAACTCATTCGTTCCTTTACTTTGTTTTGTTTTGTTTTTTGGTACTGGGGATCGAAATTGGGCCCTTGCACTTGCGAGGCTGGTGGCAGAACCACTGAGCCAAACCCCTGGCCCACGTTCCTTTGAACTATACGAGTAACGTATGTTCTTTTTGTTTGTGTGGCACCAGGAATTCAGGACCTGGTGCTTGACAGGCAGGCACCACTGAGCTAAATCCCTGACCCTGCCCTGTATATCCATTTTTTAAAAGATAAAAATTACCTAGAAATAACATGAAACAATGTACATAAAACACGTAGAATTACGTATAAAATTATATATTCCACCAACCTAGTAATAATCCCTGCAAACATTTGACTGTAATTTTCTATTTCTTTCCTTTTCGTTTTGGTGCTTTTTTTTCATTTGACGTAGGATCTCACTATGTATTCTATACACATTATAGAGCCTGGCCTTGAATTTGCAGTGATCCCCCTGTCTCAGCCTCCCAGAGGACTGGGATGTCAGGTATGGCCGATCACAGCTGGTTTAAGTGAGCACATGCACCAAGTGGGGCGCTACTGCATGTCCTGCTTCTTCGCCTGCCATCCTGGGGGTGCAGCAGCACTGCTCTGTGTCACTGCTGGCATGGGGACAGAGACGTTCTCTCCTCCACCAGAAGACCCGGCCCTGGCCTAGGGTTTCACCCACCACTCACTGCCCTAGAGTTGGGGCTGCCAGAAAGGCTGTGCTCTGTCTGAGTCTCTCCCAGGGAGGACAGCTTTGGCCTAGAGGAGGATGCCCCAGCTGACATCGGCCCAGGAGCCCTTGCTCTGGAGGCCCTGGAGTTGTAGGCTGGGCTCTGGGTATCTGAAGAGGCTCTGAAGTGGCTCATTGGCCCAGAGATTGCCCTCCAGAGCTGGCTGAGCCCTGGCTTTGCCTCCCTAGCCCCGAAAAGCAGATTAAGTGATTCCCTTTGGAGCAGGGGTAAGAGAGCGGGTTTTCCCCATTTCCAGGAGCCTGCAGGGGCGCAGCAGGGGTCTTCACGACTCTGCACATCCCTGTCCCTGTTCACCCTCACCCCTTCTGGTGAGATCCCAAAGTGTGACTCTCAGGCTTGTCACCGGGCCGTCCTATGTGCTCCAGAAAGGGACGTCAACTCTCGTGCCAGACCCCAAGACTAGCCGCTGCCACAAACCCAGCTTTCCCGGTGAGGTGAGCATACTCAGGCTCCGCGGACGGATACACGAAGCCCGAAGCCCAGGTGCGGAATTTGGGGTGTAGCGATCGTGGCCCTCCTGGCCCTGGCCGGCTCCTTCCTCCAGCGGCCCTGAGGCTTCAGTCTGAGAGAGGGAGGCGGGGCGGCGGCGACAGGACCCGGGGGCGCAGGGACGCTGGGCACC